ATTTGAACCGCTGACCTGCTGATCTAGCAGTAGCCTGCAGTGCTGCATTTAACCACTGCGCCACCTTGGCTCTTTGGGACTCTAGCCTTTGTTTCTCTTCACTGCGCTTTTTCTAGAGTCTCCATATCTTTTTTATGTTGAGATTAAAGGTTTTCCAGGGATCCTTGTTGCTTTCTTGTTTCCATTACCCAAACTAGGTAATATCACTAGCGCTGATGTTCCCCCAGTTCTTATGATCTTGACATTTCTTTCATTCTTGCACCTCCCTGCAGGTCTGAAGGTTATTGTTGGAGCCTTGATCCAGTCGGTGAAGAAACTCACAGACGTGATGATCTTGACTGTTTTCTGTTTGAGTGTCTTTGCCCTCATTGGCCTCCAACTCTTCAAGGGGCACCTGAAACAGAAATGTGTCAGGAACTATACGGAATTTATCAATCAGAGCATAAGTAATATTTCCTATGATACTTTCATCAACAATAAAGGTAAGATACCTAAGCTCCTGCCAGGACGATTAAGACATCGTATATTTGGGCCTCCTCTTTGTGCTATGTATGGAAAATGGGGGAAAAGATATATATCCCAGAATGAGGCAGTAAGAATTCAATCTCATATTTGGGACTTAAAAAAACCTCAGGATGTAGGGAGATTGTCTTGATCTTTTTTTATTTAAAACTAGCTGATAATCCGTAGTTGCTCGGGTATTTATTTATAGGGGGGGGAAATGTCCAGACCAAACATAATTTCTAATGTTGGATTTTCCCCCTTACGAGAGGGAGTCCCCTTGTGGAGTACTGTGAAGCCGTTACCATGGCAACTCCACAACACTGTGCAGTAGAAGCCATTTTACGGCAGTACAGTAGCAGCCATTTTAAGGCACAACAGGCTGCATCTTAACAGAACACACGTCCCGAGGGGCTTTAGGGGTGTCTTACTCCCACAGTATTTTTTTTCTAGAGAGTAAGTCATCTGTGTACCATGTTTGGTTAAAATTGCTCCAGATGTTCCAGAGTTATGCTGGAACGAACACACACACACACACACACACACACACACACAAAATGTGGCTTCATTCAGGATATGCTGCTGAAAACTACTTTCCTGCATAAATGCATATTAGCAATTTTGTATTTAAAAACAACATATCCAGAAAGGCAGGGGTGGGGGGGATAAAGATGTATTTTTGACTGAATATTAAGAAAAAGATGTTTCAGAAGAATCTGGAGAGATGGAATGGAAGAAAGTTTGGGAAAACCAGGATGATTTGTTTGCAAACCTAATATTTTGACGATCGAAAACCATGGGCCTGAGGAGCTGTTCCATTATTTATAGAGCTGGTCTTTCTGATTTTGCAGAAAACTACCAACTGAAAAAGGGCACTGAAGACTATTTGTTGTGTCGCAATGGCTCAGATGGAGGGTAAGTGGGTCTAGCTATTATTTGCATATTTGAAAATTTCTCCCTTGATTTGAAAGCTCAGGATGGCTGCATTTCAACAGGATAAGAATCTGGATATTTTTCCCCCTATTGTTCCTGCTGTGACCACAGGCAGTCCCCGACTTACGACCGCAATAGAGTGCAAAATTTTCATTGATGAGCAAGACAGCTGTTAAGTGAGTTATGCCCCATTTTATGACCCTTTCTTGCAACCTTTGTTAAGCGAGTCACCCCGTTGTTAAGTGCCCTGTTGACTTTGCTTGTCAAAAGTTCACAAAAGGGGATCACATGATTCCGGGACACGACAACCGTCATATAAATACATGTCAGTTGCGAAGCGGCTGAATTTTGATCACATGACCATGGGGATGCTACAATGGTTACAAGAGTGAAAAATAGGCATAGGTCACTTTTTTTCGGTGCTGTCGTAAGTTCGATTTGTCACTAAATGAATGGTTGTAAATCGAGGACTACCTGTACTCATCAAATTTGGATTCTGCAGTTGAACCATGAACTGGGAGTAGTTAACAATGAAAAAAATAAAATACCAAGAAAGGACAAATAAAAATGTCCTTTTCAGTAGACAGAAGCACCAGGAAAAAAATAAACCTTAAAAACCTACATGAGACAAGTTTTAACTTCCCAAACAAACTACATTCCACTCCTACATAGGCGTGACCCGTCAAAACCGCGGTCCACTAAAGCGCGCCCGATTAAAGCGCGTACCTGACGTCATCAGCAGCGCAACAAATAA